GAAGTTGCACCGACTGTGCGCAGCAATGGCTTAAAAAAAGTAATAATGTGTGGGAAAATTCCCCGAAAACATACATCATCCTGAGTGTGGAATGTTAGGAGTATGTTATGTTCCCATCCGGTAACATGGGTTGGGAGTACATCCGCGAGAATGGGAGAATGTTGGGAGTATGTCCGCCCAGCCGTAAAATGGGTTTGCACTGCACAAACCCATTGAATAAAAAAAATACAGGCACCGAAAATTTTTGTTTATCAGTTCTAATTTTTTGCAACTCTAAAGGTTAATTATATAGACGAACAACAAACAACAATAAAATATGAATGGTTTCAAGTGGAATCATCACATGACAGTGATGACACACAATAATATATCAGTGTTACATAAAAGTCTGTAACGACAATGTTGCCATACCATTACTTTGGTAATTTCTGATGACAGCTATGTCTAGACATATTTATATAGACATATAAAACTATTTTCCATTAATTAGAATGATGAAATTATTTCCAACTCCTTTCATTAAATTGTTAATGAAAAGAGTCAGTCAACCTCTAATAACCATATCAGCACACTATTAGCATATATAGAACAAGCAAAATCTCATCTAATACCATACTAATGTTTGATTTCTTCCTTTGCCTAATTTCTGAGGACTTGGTTCTTCACCACTTTCCTCATGTCTGGACAGAAATTTTACCTAGATAGGGTCTACATAAGCCTTATAAGGTAAACAAACGATGTCAGATGTTTCCATAAGAAATTTGTAGAAATTTTCTTCTAAATTAAATTTCTAGATTTTTACTTTCATAAAAATTTCATTTCAAGGAAAATCATAGATTATTGAGGGGAGCATCTGGGGTAAATTTATCTCAGCTATTTACAGAAGGATCACTTGAAACTTGGTACACATATGTAAAACAGAAATCTAAGACTTTTTTGTTCATGTGAATTTTTTGAAAAAAATGAAAGAAAATGTGAAATTCTTAAAAAATGGCCAAAAAGGGGGTACCATAAAAATCTATCTCCTCCTAGGATTTTCAAGGTACAACATTGAGACAGATACATATCATTCGATGCGTAAAGACTATATCTAAAAACATCACGTGACAGTTTTTTAAATTTCTCATTATGTGGGTGTGGGATCATTTTTTCTGATATTTTTCAAAATTTTTGGATTTTACCCCCACCCTCCCCCACTTTTGCAAAATAAAATCCGAACTATAAGGAAATTGGAAAACTGACCAAGTGACGTTAGTAGATCTTTCCTTTCCAAATCGAATGGTATATGTTTCATTGCTGTAGCTTCAAAACTGTAGGAGATAGGATTGCCGTGAGAGAGGTTTTCAGCTTTGGCAACTTTTCAGTAGAGGCAAAAAACCGCCATGCGGCATGTAAAGTAGCCTAGATACTGAAAGTAAGTGTCATCTCACTTCAAATCAAAGTCAGTCATCGGTGCATAGAGCCACTAAATGAACACCATCCTGCTCCTGATTTTGACCTTTGGACCCAGACGCTCCCCTTAATGGATAATTGAATGCATATTGAGTATTATAAGTTTTCTGTCTCTTGTCCCTTGACAAAATGTACCTACGGTATCTGCGCGCCACGTGAACTCCAGCGCGCGCGAGTGGGGATGGCCAGGAGTTGCGCCAACTTAGCGCAACAATGGCTTAAAAAAAGTCATTATGCACGGAAAAGTTCCCCAAAAACATACATCATCCTGAGTGTGGACCACGAGTATATTTAGCAAAGCACACCTTGGCCTCATCACCCTCATGTAGGTATGTACCCCAAAAAAATTCTTTGCTCTGAACTTAATGAAATTTATAGAGCTGAAAAGAGAAGAAAATCAAGAAAAATACCTGAAAATACCATACACAGGATGGTGCGGCGTCTGGCGTGTATGCCAGAGGTTTCAATGAAGCATGTAGGCTAGTACACCAAATAAAAAAAATTAAGGCATTGAAAGAAAGTATGTACACCACAATGGAAATCAGAGCTGGGAAAGTCCTACTTTTTCTGAAATATCCCAGCTCTTACATCATATAATTTCAGTTGGTATGAAATCTGGCTCTAATCATATGAAATGTATTTTTGTTTGATTGAAAAATTGCGGTTTGCACTTTGCTAACATGTCGTTTCATATAATTTTCAACTTCTGCAATGATGGCGCATTCTGCATTACTTCATCCCCCCTGCAAAAATATACTGCTGAATGTAATAACAAGTCAACCTACAATGATTCCTTGAAGATCGCATAGCTGCAGTCACGTCAGAGCAGTCAGACTGCATTATCATGTGTTCAGTTGCCACTTAAGTGAAGACAAATGTTAGTTTTGCTGTTTGACTGTTTTGAGGTACAATTAGAGATTTGGGTGGGTAATATCACTAATATGTGCGTGGATCTTGTAAATAAATTTGCGGCTTGTTAATGGCTTTTCAAGGCTGAGATATGGAATTCATGGCTCAAAGAAATGGAATCACAGCTGTCAAATCCATAAAACCATGGCTTGAAAAATTCAGTTGGCTCGCCTAATAGATATATTCCATGCCTGATGGAAATGCTATGAAACCCCAAATCCACTAAATTGCGGCATTGTGGTATGGCTGGCAATGTCTACCACATCTTGACATTCGGATTAAAGATTCTAATAATTATTTATGAAATTATTTCTGATTATACCTATATATTTACATTATTCCTTATTTTATATGCTCATGAACAAATCTCTTCTGATTCCTAATCAGGCGCATTTTTGTGAAATATTTATAATTTTATGAATTGCATTATATATATTGCATCAAGAATTTGCTGCTTGATGATATTAAATGCATGGATTTTCATATTTTTTCTATACTACTGATTTAAGCTTTTTTCTGGAAATAGACAGCATAGCAGAAGCCAGAAGGGGGATTTATCAGCAACTAAAAATAAAGAAATAAATGAAGCAAAGAAGATTGATGCTGTTGCAAAAAACTAATTCATAGACTGATGTTAGTGCTAAAGCAAATTAGTATATTTTCACAGGAAAATAAGAACAAATACAACTGGTCCAAGGAAATCAGTTTCAGTTTTGGATGATTATTATCTTTCTCATTAATTATTAACTTTTATTTTTTAGATTTTACATAAATTCATATCATTATTCCGTAAAATGGGGTAACTTAGATGACTTTTTTTTAAATGATGCCTTTTTTTACAACACTTCTCTTTAACTTCACTTCTTGTCTGTCTGTCTGTCTGTCTGTCTGCTACAAATCTTGTAATCAAAATTTAATACACTTCTACCTGTCTCTTATACACATCTAGATGTGTATAAGAGACAGCTCTCAAAACACTGCACTACGTGCCAGCATTAGTTTTCATAAAATTTCCATATCAAGGAAAATCATAGATTAATGATGGATAATTAAATGCATATTGAGTATTGTAAGTTTTCTGTCTCTTGTTCCTTGACAAAATGTATCTGTGCGTGAGTGGGGATGGCCAGAAGTTGCACCGACTGTGCGCAGCAATGGCTTAAAAAAAGTAATAATGTGTGGGAAAATTCCCCGAAAACATACATCATCNGAGAGGGGGAGTTCACCCTGGAGACCTTCAAGAGACAACTGGACATTTTCCTGGGCACAATCCCAGGTTGACCTCTCCTGCAACACTACCAGCGGTGAGAAGCAAGCAACAGCATCATGCATCAGGTGGCCCAAATGAGGGTGGATGAACAATAATCAGAGGTGGCGATCCATCGTGGCCTGGGACTGCTATGTCCCAAACAAGTACCAAGATTACAGCTTTCCAGCATGTTGAAAAAGTTACATCATGCAATTTTTTCAATTTAGAGCTTCCTCTTACTTCCTCTTACACTTGCGATCCAGGTATTTCAGCTAGGCCAACAAATGAACACGATGAAGTTGGATTCCTATGTCGACGAATTTGCTCATGTAGTATCAAGTAGCTCAGACGTCAGTAAAAAAAGGGCCAGGGTGGAGGCAAAGTCCATGCTTGCAATCACCTGCATAGAAAAACCATGCAGCTCTATCCAAGCAGTCGTTCCAGCAACATGCTACCAACAGGCGGTAGCATCCATTCCTATTGCTGCTGAGATTGCATCATTGAGTAAAATGTTTCCACTATGGCCTCTGTAAATTTAAGTAGGTCAGTGTATTCCTGGCAAACTATTATTTAGGTAAAGTAACATCTCTACTTCTCTAGCTTCTAATAATACGAAAAGTTTGTTTACAATAAACAGATAAGTGGATCAAGTTAATTAATGTAGCTAATTATATACTCTACAGATATAATACTCAACAACAATTTCTACTGACCTAAATATTCTCTAGCAGTTATCTTAGATTAGGCGCAATTATTGGAATGCAATGTGATAAATTAAATTTAGTGGCAAATGATGTTCACTACCTTACTCGATCCGCTATGATGCAGACCAAAATTCAAGAGTAAGCAGGCAGATGGACTGGCCAGATGGAAAAGCTTGGGATTGCTGTAAAACGACTGGTAAACAGACTGCTTATTTAGGACAGTGGCAACACGCTCTTTGCATTGCATCAATTGTTATAGTGAGATGCAGTCTAAATCGCACCAATACCTTGTTGTTTGGGTCACCTTAACATCAGTTATTGGACTGCTGACAGCAGCTGTCAGCCAATTATTCCTGCAAACACCAGACAAGAAAGACTGGTGGATGGCAGCCATGTACGATGCAATGTACTTGTGAGCCAGCATTACATTGAAAGATGAACCAAGGTTCATGTGTCTCACTGCCAGGTTAATGAGCCAAATAGAGGCTGCTGAGCAAGTGCACTCTTCCATGCATTTTTCAGCAAGCAGGTGCAAGATGGAAGGAGCGTCTAAAATAACACAATCAGCACCCGCTTTACCGATCAGCACCCACTTCACTTATCAGTACCTGCTTCACTGTTCATCACCCGCTACATTATTTACTCATTTTATAAAAATCTGCTGGAATTCAATTTAAATTTTCATTAGCTTCAATATTCTGCATTTCTGGCCAGTCACAGGCTGAGCATAAAGTAGAATCATAGTTAAAAGCATCTTCAGATTTATTTCACCATCCTTACTCCACAGGGCTCCCTCTTTATTGGAACTTTGCATAGCAGCTCTCGGACAGCATTCTTGTAGCACCTTAGTTTGGCCACAGACCCACTCTCTTCTGGGTCTGATGTCATGGTGGTTCAGCATGAGCATGGATAGTGAACCTGGCCCCCTGGGGCAAGGACATCCTCCTTCTGTGCTGCAGTGACGTGCGCTACTCTCCTTGTCAAGCTCTGGAGATGTCAGAGACGAGGCTTGTTTCTCAGCCAGAACTTTTCTTACTTTGCGCCCAAGTAATTTTATTAAAACTGGATTATCCATTAGAACTGGACCATTAAATAATCTTTAAATCCACCAATTTTTTGTTGATGACTGATATTAGTATTCTGACTCATTTCTTCATCTGATTTTCTCAAGTTTGGGTTTGTCTACCTACAGGTGCAATGTTTGTAGCCAGCCAAGGATGACCACGTCAGCCATGAAACTTTCCAGTGAACTCAAAATATAGCCTATTCAGGTTTTTAGTAGTCAACCTTTTCTTATTTTACTGTAACATTGAGTTAGTTACAAAATTTCACTATAGGGGAAATTGCTATTGCTAGCATCTTTTTTATTTAAATTTACTGTTAAAAGATAGTTTACTGGACATATGATCAGTGCCAACTGTCAGCAGGGCTATGAGTTCTGTGCAACTGGCTGCCCCAATTGATCAGATTGAGATTATTTTGCATAAATTAGGCAGTTCATTGGCTTCAAAATGCTCATTTTGCATGAAAAAAATTTCATTACAACCTACATCTTCCTGAGCTCAAGTTGAGCTCTCATGTGCTACTCAGCCTTAATGTTATTTTCTCTTTCTGATATATACAAACAAAGCTATCCATATTTTATTTTTGAATCTAATTATTGTATTTTGTGAAATATTTTTTCTAGATGTCTTAGCTCTGAAAAGAATTACTTCAAAAATGTCAACACCTAACATTACGGCTCATCTTGTGAAAAAGCTGCGGCAGTTGATGAAAGATGCAAGCTTTGTCCCTAAAGCATTGCATGCCTACATTATCCCATCCTGTGATGCACATCAGGTATGTTTCACTGGATAATTTTTTTAATTGATAGAAATTGAGTGTAGAAATCCATGATTGTATATACCTATACAAGGGTTGGACAAATAAGGGAAATGCCTGAGAAATCAACAAAATAGGTACATTTTAGTATGGTGTAGGTCCACCTGTTGCAGTAATTACAGCCTCAATTTGTTGAGGTATTGATTAATACAAATTTTGATTTATTTCTGAAGGAATTTTAATCCATTCTTCAGCTGAAACTCTCTTAAGGCAATCACATTTTACCACTACTTGAGGGACCAATTCTGGAGGTTTTTGCACTACTCTAAAAGCTTTAATGCATTTGTATTTGAAACCAGAGGTTTTCTAATTGCAGCTCTTCCATAGAATCCAGATCTGTTTAGCCCTTTGCAGACAATCTGTATGGAAACTAGGTTCTGTAAGTGTCCATTGAGGTCTACAGTAATTTCAATAGCCATGGTCTTTCAATTGTCCCTCATAATGTGATTTGGGTACTACCTATGGTCTCTCTTCTGACACCTTTGATTTTCAGTCAGACCTGTGGTTTGCTGAGGACGTTTTTCTTTTTCTTTCAGAAGCAGTCATTACTTTCGAGACAGTTTCTCTAGGAATGTCAAGAATTTGGGAAGTTTCTGTCACACTGACACCTGCCATATGGCATTGACAATTTGGCCTCTTTGAAAGTCAGAGAGTTTTGCCATTTATAGGTTATAGACACTAGAATTTACTATATGTGCAAGGATCAGGCATCAATTGGCAGCATCAATAAACAGTAATATATAAAAATATGTCACATTCACATTGTTTATAACATGTTCAAAAGGAACAGTATCAAAACATCCGGTGTTTCCTTTATTTTGTCCAGCCATGATATATAGGTATATATATAGTGCAGAAATTATTATAAGATGGCAGAAATTTCTTGATTATATGCGTACAATTTATGACCAGAGAGTGCATTTGAATTTTTAAGGAGTTGAACAATTCTTAGATGACGTTGGTAGATCAAAAGGCAGATTTAGCAAATAATAATATATTAACGATGTTTCGAATGTAGCAACATTCATTCTCAAGTTAAGAGAAGCATTGAATAGTAAAATTTGGTTGGACATAAGTACATAATACACGTAAATAGGATACAACACAAAAATTTTGAGCCAGAAAGTCCTTACGCAAACAATCTCAAATTTTATTTTAGACAAATCCGGTAGCTTGGAAATCGATAGCTGGGGTCCAATTCAAAATTAAGACAGTTCCAGCAATCGTTGGTCGATTAATGTTGTGCACCTCCGCATGATGACGCTGGTGGGTTTCTCCAGCACGGTGCAAGCGACAGTCTTGTGAGTTTGTCTCAGGGGGCTTCTCTGCCCTCCAGGTTGAAGATGACAGGTGAGACGGTCTCAATGTCGTGGTTGTTAGTCCAAATACTCCAATGTAGTCCAAATGATGACATGGCCCCTGCCAAAAAGCTCAAGTTCTCAAAGAGGCCAGTGTAGTTCATAAATTTTGCTTCAAAGAAGGTTGTAGACTTCTTCATCATTTGGACTACATTGGAGTATTTGGACTAACAACCACAACATTGAGACCGTCTCACCTGTCATCTTCGACCTGGAGGGCAGAGAAGCCCCCTGAGACAGACTCACAAGACTGTCGCTCGCACCGTGCTGGAGAAACCCACCAGCATATCATCATGCAGAGGTGCACAACATTAATTGACCAACGATTGCTGGAACCATCTTAATTTTGAATTGGACCCCAGCTATCGATTTCGAAGCTACCGGATTTGTCTTGAATAAAATTTGCGATTGTTTGCGTAAGGACTTTCTGGTTCAAAATTTTTGTGTTGTATCCTATTTACGTGTATTATGTACTTTTGTCCAACCAAATTTCACTATTCAATGCTTCTCTTTACTTGAAAATGAATGTTGCTACATTCGAAACATCATTATTATTATTATTATTTGCTAAATCTGCTTTTTGATCTACCAACGTCATCTAAGAATTGTTCAACTCCTTGAAAATTCAAATGCACTCTCTGGTCATAAATTGTATGTTTATATATATAGGTAGGTATATAAATATATATCATTATGTGTACAAGTAATGACTATAGAATGCTCTACAATTTTCATGGAGTCTAAAAATTCTTTAGGTTACATTGGTAGATCAAACAGCAGATTTAGCAAGTTATAATAACATATCAATGACATTTCAAATGTAACAACATTCATTTTCAACTTGAGAGAAGCATTGAAAAACGAAATTTTGAACAACCTTCTTTGAAACTAAATTTACAGACTAAATTGGCTTCTTGGACAACTTCCACTTTTTGGCAGGTGCCATTATTGTTCTCCAACAACAATGTCTTGGAGAACTCTGAAAGCTGTAGTCTTCTGTAGTCTACAGAGAGGCCAGTGTAGTCTATAAATTTTGCTTCAACGAAGGTTGTAGACGTCTTCTTCAATTGGACTGCATTGGAGTAATTGGACTAACAAACACAACATTGAGACCGTCTCACCTGCCATCTTCAGTCTGGAGGGCAGAGGAACCTCCTAAGACGAATTCACAAGACCATTGCTTGCACCGTGCTGGAGAGAACCACTAGGATTTTCATCATGCAGAGGTGCAGAACATTAACCAACCAATGATTGCTAGGACACTCGTAATTTTGGACTGGAATCTGGCCATCTATTTCCAAACTACTGGATTTATCTAAACTTTGAGAGGGTTTGCAGATGGACTTTCTGGCTCAAAATTTTTGTGTTGTATACTTTTTACATGTACAACAAAATTTATTTATTCAAGGCTTCTCTTAACTTGAAAATGAATGTTGTTACATTCAAAACAACATACTATTACTTCCTAAATGTGCCTTTTGATTCACCAGTCACCTAATGAATTGTTCAACTCCAAGAAAATTGTAATGCATTCTCTGGTCATTAATTATAGGCATATAAACAAGAAATTTTTGCTGTACATATAATACTGATATACTGTTATTTAAATGCTAAATTTTAGATCTTTGATATATCTTTCTATATGTTTTGTAATGAAATTAACCCAGAACTAATATTATAACCCTATTACCAAAAAACTTCAATATTTTGCTTGCATATTGCCAGTCAGAGTACACAGCCGAGTGTGACCAGCGTCGAGCCTTCATATCAGGCTTCACCGGATCTATGGGGACAGCAATAGTGACTGACACAGCTGCTGCTCTATGGACTGATGGCCGGTATTACTTGCAGGCTCAGCAAGAATTGGATCAAACCTGGGTCCTCATGAAAGAAGGTGTGTTTACAATAATTGAAAAAATTTGCCTTATTTATGTTACAGCAAAACAACTTATTATATAGGTACTAGGGCAGTAGAGCAAGGTTACAGGCATGGTTACCATGGAAATGTTATGCCAGTAACCTGGGTCTTACTCCAAATGTAATATAGAATAAAATAAAACATCAGAACATGATATTATTAGGAAAGAAATTGAGGCATGTTAATGGGCTTTATGAAATATTCTCAATAGGCATGAACATTAAAATTGAAATAAATGAGTTTTTTTACAGATTTTCATGGAATCATGGTTGATTCTAGCCAAATGTGATAAGTGTTCCATGCTTGCTTAAGAAAAGTTTACTGCTTTAATAGTTTAATTTGTAGAAATAATGATTTTAGCTTAATTTGAATGACAAAATTGCATTAAGTAATGTATACTGCAATTGCCTTCTTCTCCACTTGATAACTGTCTTGAAAATACCATATATGTATAGCCTTGATCATTTGTTTTTTAACTCCGCCTACTGCAGTATTGTTCTTATAAAGTTATTGCTTTGTGAATGAAAACATAATTAAGAGTGATTACCTGCAATCATTTGGCCACTGAAGTTTGATTAAATTTGAAGTGAACAGCACCTGACAAAGTTCTCAATTGATTGATGTCTCTGTTTCATAGGGCAGCATGACACTCTGAGAGAAGGGCCATGGCTCGTCAATCATTTTAAAGGCTATATGCCTCAGCAAGGCTGTGTGGTGGGTGTAGATCCATTGCTACTAGATCAAAAGTGCTGGGTGGAGCTGGAGAAGGAGCTTCTGGGTGCTGGTCACCAGCTTGTTGCTGTTACATCCAACCTCGTTGATGTCGTGTGGGGCGCTGACAAGCCTCAGAGACCCAACAACCCTGTGCTTGTCCATGATGTGCGTTGCATGTACAACTACACATGTACATTATAAGGAATCCACCAAAGTATTTAAGAATTAACAACCAGAGCATATTTTTTATCTTACTCTTCACTTGTTTACAAAATCCTGCCCAGATGAAAGTTGTCATTATATTTGCAGAGTAGATATTATCTTTTTATTGTATTTAGGATCTTTAAGGAATTGTCACAATCGGAATGAAATGGGAAGCGAAGTGCATTGAAAAAAATTTAATGGTTTAGAAATGATCTTCTATTAGCAAATTTAATTAGTTATAAGCAATAGTACCTATATAAATTTATTTTGTATAATTTTCAGAAACACTGGACAGGAAAAAGTCATATAGACAAAATAAATGAATTGCGCAACACAATTAAGCAGAAGGATTGCTATGCTGTTGTCCTCACAGCTCTGGACGATGTTGCATGTGAGTTTCACCTAATCCTACTGCACGCAACTGTACAGTAATCCCTTGCTATATTGCGCTTTACATACCGTGGCTCAACTTCATTGCTGGTTTTCAAGAAATATTAATGAGAAAAATCATTCATTGATCTTTGACGGTTCATGGGCTGAGAAGTAAATATGCAGAGTTAGAGAGCCTGCAAACTTAATTGGCATGTAGGGTAAGAATTTTTAAACACTTGGAGCAAAAAAGTTACCAAAAAATTAATATAGAAATAATTAAATAAATACTATCAGTTGTACAATTTACCATCGGGTATTTCACCTATTGTCGCTGAGGTCTTAATGGTAACACCCACAATTGGTGAGAATATTTAATGATTATTGATTAATGTTAGTAATTGCCCACATCCATGTTTTTACTATTGCCAGTGTTTTAAAAAACGTTGCAAAAACGCCGATAGTAATGCAATGCAGTGCCCCCAATTTCCAGAGTAATAAATTTTATTGTTTGTGTGTAATCTGATAAATTACTCTGTATGTATTATTATAAGATTTATGGGGCAAAATTCAGTAAAATTTATTTTAAATGTAGAGCTAAGTTAAAGAAGATTGATCAGAGAACATCATCCACGTCTTGCAGATCTACTGAACATGCGAGGCAGCGACATCCCCTACAACCCCTTGTTCTTCTCATACATGATCGTCACACTGGAAAGCGTCACCATTTTCGTTGATGTCTCCAAGTTAACGGCTGAAGCAACGCAGCATCTGCAGCAGGAACCCTGCCCTGTTGAAGTTGCTCCCTATGAAGATCTCCTGCCACGCCTCACGCAGGTCCAGCATTAACAAAATTTTAGATGCCGTTATTCATAAGCAGTTTTTATATTTTGATTTAGTTTTATTTTAACATGCTTTTCCACCCACTCATTCAACAACATATATCGATGTTTTCAGGCTCTACCATCACCTTCCCCATAATTCATAGCAAACCCTCTCCATAATTCCGCAAAAGAACGTACTAGTTGTTTGCACTCCACTCTGCCACTCTTACCCACCTCAATACCAAGCCCAGAAGCTGGTGTACAAGGTCCATACAATCAAAAATACTTGTACCTACGAGTCAGCCAATCACTGACGGCTTTTCAGGCTAAACCCGCCAATCACAGACCAAGAATTCACTTGCACTTTACTTGCCGTTACTTGTACTTAGGCCTCTATGTGTACTTAGGCCTTTTTGCTTACTTAGGCCTGGCCTCTACGTGTACATAGGTCTCTATAAGTACTTAGGCCTCTACGTGTACCTAAGCAAGTTTTGCTACTACGACCTCAGGTGTGCTCGAGTGTGCCACCGGGGCAGTTCGTGTGGCTACCCACCACCTGCTCCCAGGCCGTAGTGGGCTGCGTGCCGCCCCACCAACGTCGCCTGCTCTGCACGCCCGTCGCTCTGCCCAGAGCTGTCAAAAACCCTACAGAAATACAAGGTGAGCGCATCTTGCGCAATGTATCTCTGGCAATGCTTTGAAACCATTGAGATAGCGTGAGGTGTGGGGACGTGTCGGGCAGCGTGGGGTGTCGGGCAGTGTGAGGTGTGGTGCAGCGTGATGTATCAGGCAGCGTGATGCCTCAGGCTGCATGAAGTAAGAGACAGCGTGAGGTCAGAGTGATATAAGGCATGTCACTCACGCCGCTGACGACTGCCACCGCAGGGCTGGAGGCTTGCCACGTCCGTGACGGTGCGGCGCTGTGCAGCTTCCTGGCGTGGCTGGAACAGGAGGCGCCGCAAGAGACGCAGACGGAAATGTCCGCGGCCGCCTACCTCGAGCAGTGCAGGGCGTGAGTCGGCAGCTGCTAACACATTCCATAATTTGAAGTAATTTGAATGCTGTATATGGTTTTACGTGTTATAAAGTTTCTCATGTCATTTAGATCGTGAAATATTTAGCCCGGTTCCTAATGGGATCAAGCTATAATTTTTCACATACAAAGAAAAATTAATATTTTAACATATTTTTTATTTACTACTATCACAAGTGATAATAGTATCACAGGAAACCAAAGAAAATTTCAGAAAATAATTCTCGGCATTAATGGGTTAAAAATAAAATAACATCGCGTGGCAGGAAGCAGGACAACTACCGCGGCCTGAGCTTTGAGACGATCACGGCGGTGGGCAGCAACGCGGCCAAGACGGAAATGTCCGCGGCCGCCTACCTCGAGCAGTGCAGGGCGTGAGTCGGCAGCTGCTAACACATTCCATAGTTTGAAGTAATTTGAATGCTGAATATGGTTTTACGTGTTATAAAGTTTCTCATGTCATTTAGATCGTGAAATATTTAGCCCGGTTCCTAATGGGATAAAGCTATAATTTTTCACATACAAAGAAAAATTAATATTTGAACATATTTTTTATTTACTACCATCACAAGTGATAATAGTATCACAGGAAACCAAAGAAAATTTCAGAAAATAATTCTCGGCATTAATTGGTTAAAAATAAAATAACATCGCGTGGCAGGAAGCAGGACAACTACCGCGGCCTGAGCTTTGAGACGATCACGGCGGTGGGCAGCAACGCGGCCATCACGCACTACCGCACCAGCCCCGCCACCAACAGGACGGTCACCACCCGCCACATCTACCTCGTCGACTCCGGCGCCCACTACAGGTGAGCCCGCCACATCTACCTCGTCGACTCCGCGGCCCACTACAGGTGAGCCCGCCATCTCTACTTCGGCGAACCAAGAGATCAGAATTTATTGACTTCATTTCCCGATTATTTATTTAGTGGACCCGAGTGCACTCGCGCTAATTTTAGTCCGTGTTATTTTATTCTTATCTTTCATTTGCCAGCGAATATTTGGCCGGCTTTTTACGGAAATGATTGATCCGCAGTGATGGCACCACGGACGTCACGCGCACGCTACACTTCGGGGAGCCGACAGCGGCGGAGCGCGACGCCTTCACGAGGGTCCTGAAGGGGCACATCGCTCTCGCCACCGCAGTCTTCCCACCCAAAATAAAGGTCTTGCCTCTGCTTTGTGGCTTTAAGCCATTGACACGAGTTAGTTACTTGATGTTTGCATCATTTGTGAGCTACATGAGTAATGCTGTTCATTATTATCTCGGTTCTGACCTCAATAGTAAGCTGTACAAGTAACGCTGCTCCTTATTGTTTTATAGCCTTTGCCCTCGGCCCTGACAGGGCAACCGTCTGGACAGTTTTGCACGGCAGTTCCTGTGGTCGGTGGGGCTGGACTATGGCCACGGCACTGGCCACGGCATCGGCATGTTCCTCAACGTACATGAGGGCCCCATGGGCATCGGCTGGCGGACCTACCCTGACGACCCTGGCTTGGAGGAGGGCATGTTCCTGTCTGATGGTTCGTGATGACCATTTGATGGTTGCGAGAACGCGTATGATGGTGTGGTCCTCAACTACCTATATTTCCTATGTTCTGTTTCGAGTCAAGAAGCAGTTTACTGTGTTAATGGGAGCGTCTACCCTAAATTTTATCTCAGTAATTTACAGAGGGATCAATTTGAAATTTGGTACACATGTGTAAACCCTAAAAATACTCAGGTTTTATTCGTGTCAATTTTTTGAAAAATTGAAAGAAAACGTGAAATTCTTAGAAAACGGCCAAAAAGGGGTACTTTAGCAAACCTATCTCCTCCTAGGATTTTCAAGCTACGATTTTCTAAGACCAGTTTGTAGCCATATCTACAAACTGGTCTTGAGGTTTTTTTTTTTTTGCATTTCTCTTTTTTGTGGGTGTGGGAGCATTTTGTCCGAAATTTTTCGAAATTTTCGATTTTACCTCCACTTTCCCCTCCTTTTTGCAAAATAAAATCCGAACTATAACGAACTTGGAAAAAAGGCCAAGTCCAGTTTGTAGATCTTTTCTTTGCAAATCGAACGGTATATGTCTCATTGATGTAGCTTCAAAACTCTAGGAGGAAATAGGTTTTCCGTGACAATAAGTGTGAATATTGAGGAGAGCGCGACAAAGTCCCGCGCGCACCACAATAATTGGATAGGCCAGAATGTCAGCTTTAAGATGAGACTAAACACGTAACTGCAGAACAACTCAAGTAGACACTATATTTAAAGAGCTCAGCAGCTAATTAATTCCTATCTAATTACTTGAAGAACTCCCCACCCGCCCCCCTTTCATGAAATGTCGTGAAATCATAAATCAACGTACAGAGATGGCAGTGGTACCGTTGGATAGGGCTGAATGTCAGCTTTAAAATGAGTATAAAAACCGAAAAAGGGAAAATTTTTAATTTTAGGGTAGACGCTCCCTTAACCATTCTACAATTATTCATGTGTACATTTTGGCCCTGTTGAATTGTCTCTTTTTATTTGAGAGCTTCTTAAGTGGGACCTCAAGAGGCTCTAAGCCTCTCGCTCCTACCTTTTTTCATTTGGGTTATCTGAAAGGAACCAAAACTTAGAGACTCTTATCCTGACATAAAATAACTGCCCAATGCAATTAACGTACAATGGCTTTCAAACACCTGGTCTCAAAAAATCAGTTACGTCCAGACAAAGATGAGCAGACGCCCTGTAACCTAATCCGTATTTGTCTGCGCTTCAAACATGTAGCTTTTCTTCTTAGCATCGTCTCATTGCCCAGAACCCGGATACTACAAAGCGGGAGAGTTCGGCATCCGCATTGAGAGCATCGTGCGCGTGGTGAAGGCGGACACTCCGCACCGCCACAACGATCAGGACTTCCTCACCTTCAAAGTGGTCACTCTGGCACCCATACAAGCCAAACTCATCGACGTCTCGCTGCTCACTAATGCTGAGGTTGCTTGCTTGCTTCCACTTCATAATTGCTACCGTCACCATTTTGATGTTATGGTTATAAGAAACCTCAATTTATGCCTTCGTTGTGATTTTATTGTCTGTCTCTATAACTTGTATGCGCGTGTGTCAGTTTACCGCATTGAACTACACAAATTTTCTTGAAGTATCATGAAAGATATTTTTAGGAAGTTTGAGAATGCGTATTTGCTAAGGATTTGAGTTGCAAATTCAATGCAGGTGGCTTGTAAACCGTAATTTTATCTTTCGATGGTTGGCGGACATCAGCAATAATCAAGGACAAAATACTATTTCTTCCACACTGTTGCAGTGATAATGCCGAGTACAACTATGATGTTGGTCTTTAATCTCCGATAATTAATTTTTATCAGCTGGATTGGCTGAACGCGTACCACGAGACCGTGAGGAAGGAAGTTGGTGCTGTTCTGAGTGCGCAGCGCGACCAGCGCGCGCTGGAGTGGCTGATGCGGGAGACTGTGCCTATAGCGCGTCTCGCCTGAGCTACTCTCCGCCGCACGTAGCATGGCTCATCTTCGTCATTAATGCGTGTCGGCACCTTATACCCAATCCATGTATCTTCAGTAGTATACGCATTTTTTAAATTTAGCTAACTATTTTTTCAGATCAATGAAGCAAATGGCAGGGTAACAGTTTTTACAAGACGCGACTTCGAAATTCTAACTTTGCACATTATAATTCATTTTACAGTATGCAGAAAATAAATGATGGACATTAATTGAGCGTTATGGCTTATTTTCCCCCAGTGTTCCTTCAAAGTTGTGTGGACTCATTTGCAGGTGGCACGTTTAAAATACTCATTTGATCGTTTGTTTTTTGTGCTCTCTATGAAAGTCCGCCCTTGACACGAGCTGAATCCAGTTCCGTGGATGCCCAGGTCAGCGTGTTTGCTACCTAATTCAAAATATTATTTTTTTAACTCACCGGCAAACTTCTCGGCGGATTCAAACGCAAAACGTAATGTTTGACGGATTTGAAAGAAATTACAAGTATATGTTTTTAACACATCTGTTAATTTGCGAATTTTTTCAAATTTTTGCTTTGTTTAGTTTTCTATTGATACGCAAAAACGCTATTTTTGCGTTATTGGAACGACCTGTAAAATTTCGTTGTAGTTTTCTTTGGATAAGTTATTTCGAGTTTCGCAGTGGGTTTCCCTTATTGTTCGATCTCAAAAGAACAAATTTGGTAAAGGAATTTACTCTAGATGTGAGTCGGCAACGCGTTTACATCCCTTCTTAAATCTCCCCTTAAGTTACTTTTTTTCGTGTCCATGTAAAGAATAGTCGATTTGGACTTCACACATCTATACAAATTAGTTGTTAAACTTTTATTTAGCGTTATTGTTTAGAGATCTTTTTAGCAACTTTCCAGTATAAGCGCGAATGAAAAGTAAAGCAGTTTTCTGCTGGGTTATAATTTTTAATTCAAATGGCAGAAAAGAATAGTGGAATGACGTTGCTGCTGTTTATGAGGCTCGTGCAGATCATTTTTGATACTTTATGTCAGCGCATGTGAATCATTCAATGTAATAGTTGTTTCCTATGCCCAATTTTTATCTTTTTGAGCCTGTTAAAATCTTGTAAAATATAGAGCTGGACGGATTTGAAGAGAAATCCCATTCTTGAACAGTGAGCACCTGGTGTACATGTTTTGTGGCCTTTTTAAAATAATATAATAGTGGTTTCAGCGTTTATTAGGCCGTAGGCCTTTCGCCGATTCTGAACATCGCAAAACGTTCACAGCATTTTGCGGTCTCGAAATCGCAACTAACTGCTTCAATTTTGCTTTACTTAACCGCCCGGCCTCCTTGCCGATTCTGACCAGAAACTGGCGCACAGAGCTGGGATCGAACCCGTGCCTCTCTGCGCCAATCCTGATACTCTGAACTTTAACCACTGATCCTGAAGAGAAAACTGTTAACAATATCACAAATATCACTGATTTTCACACTTAATTAACGAGTTGTTCAACCCTAATAAATTTCGATTTCGGCTTATGTTTCATAAAAGTTCGTCGAACTTGGCGATGATAATCGTTGAACTGAAAAATTATACTATCAATTCTTTCTTCTTTTAACAGGAACATAAGCATGATCATCCTAATAACTCTGTCTCGTGCCTCAAATTTGGAGGCATTGCTAATATTTAAATATGATCTGAATTTTATGAAGATCTGTTCAGAATTTAGGGACTTGAAGTAAGCAAAGTTCCGAGGACTGTCGATCATAGGCGTTTATGCTTCCAATGACATATTGTAAAATATTTGATTCGAGAAAAATAGTCATTCCTCACTAAAAATTATACATTATTTCTTATTTAATGAATGAAAAACTTTTCGGGAATTAGAAATATCCTTTTCCTCAACGTAACGCAAGAAACATGACTTTCAAAAACGTATCTCAATTCGGTATCCAGACTTTTCATACGTTTACTTCCATCATCAATAAGCAAATCATAGAAGAATCGAATAATAATTCGGTTTCAATAAAGAAATGATAGAAAAAAAAGATTACATCTGAATTGCTGCGGCATTGTTACATGTAAAAGCCCAAGTGAAAGCGTGTGAACATGTTGAAATACTTCTAGTTCATCCCTATGTGGGTCAGCGTTTGGTGTTACTAAAGTCCGCCAATAGTAAACAACGTCGTTTTTTATCCTGAAGCGGTTTGCGCCCTCTTCAAATCATTGAGATTATCTAATGACTCAGATACAGAAATTAAATACTTCACTATGAAATCAATAGTACTTGGATCTGACATGTTATAATAACTACCACCTGTACTACGTAGTGGTTTCTGTGAAGACTGCACTGAAGAGATCGTGATGATTGATCATTCGATCATTTCGATGAAGTGTTAGTAATACTAATAGTATAGTGGCCTACCTAGTTGTTTAACTTGTTAAACGAAAGTTGGTATTTTCTCCAGGCACATTGAACATGGAAAATACCATTGTAGGAGAATGGCTTCGATCGCTACGTTTAGAAGAACACACAGAATCATTCATAGATAATGGATACGATGATTTAGAGATTTGTAAACAAATTAGTGCTCCTGACTTAGATGCTATTGGCGTCATTGATTCTCACCAGAGAATCATTTTGCTTGAAGCAGTACAGAGACTGAGAGAAGAAGGTGCTGCTTCTGTTTATTTTACTGTTGAAGAAGCCCAAGCAGCAAGAGGATCTAATGCTAGATTACTCATATCTAGTAAAAGGTAGGTAGAATTTTTTATTTTAATGATTTTTGCTTATTTATCATAGACAGTAACTATCTAGCCTATGATAAATAAGCAAAAATTCATAGTTATATATAAGTTATACTTATACATATATCTTATGTAGTTATTAAGCAAGATTGGCTTAGATAAGTAAATTCAATTATTGGTAATGACATGCAATTACCTATTAATTTATTATAGCCTAATGAAATTCATGGTTTACTCAATTGGGTGAATTTTATCATGCTAGTGAATAAGTGAAATGAAGATGAAGCAATTTAATAGCTAAAACTAAAAGGGGTAAATTGCATTTAACATTAAGGCATAACTATCAGATATCTTTTTATTGGCAACTGACACTGAACTCACAATCCTTGACAGCTTGAGTCAGTGCAAGTAAGTTGACAACTTGGCAAGTTGACACTGACAGAGTGACAGACTGAAGGTTCTAGTAAAATCTGAAGACATGGCAGCAATAACCTGTATTTTTGGAAAAAAATTTAATATTGAATTATATTTTGAACATCAAAGTTTAAAAAAGTAACTGTTATTCAGATCATCAGATGTAAAGATTTATGTTGATTCTATCACTTCTATCTTTAAATAAGGTAGTTTTACTCCTCTCTGATTGGGTGATTGCTGTGCTGGTAATGTTCTGATGTTGATTTTATGTGAAATTCTGATATATCAACATTGCATCATGAAACTCAAACCACCCTGTGATTGATGTTATTTTAATGTCTGATGCCTGCTGGCAGGGCTGCAGGATTGTGATTTTCCTACTTATTTATGAAATCTCATGGTTTAAAAGTGACAAATTTTCAATACATCTGGCATATTGTGTCACTTTTGTTAACAATAAAATAGAAGTTAATTTATCTAGTGGGAATCTTGCGGCTCCAAAAATGACAGGAAAGCTTTAGTTGCAGTCATAATGGTTGATAGCTTCAATACCAGCGGTGCTGAGAAGTGGACTGCAATGAATTCTAGAGTAGTATTAAATTGAATAAAACTTATAGCATATTGAATAAGCCATCATCCAACCAATCCCAGTCTGGATAGGATGACATCGCAATCACAATTTTTTTTTGCAATATGTTAAAAGCTGTCTTGCCTACAAAGCTACTATTTTTGGAAATATTTTTACTTTTTATCATTGCAGACTGCAGTAGCCAAATTACTTACTTAGAATTACTTGAAAATTACTTGAAATTGTTTGAAAATTGCAAATCTTTGAAGATCTTGAATGGTTTTCAGCTTATCAGAAATATTTTTCAATGAAAATAAGAACTTCTTCAAATTCATCAATGAAAGAGAATAAGAAGTTAGTTTTCATTGCAAAATTGTTACTGTGGGAATTGCAGTGGGATTTTTTGTAACTTTGAGTGTAGGAAGACTTTATTTCTTATTGTGCAACCAAAAATGGATTAAGAGAATGTAATGTAAGAGAAGTTAAATTTTTTTATGTATTGGTACTGTCTTAAGTTTTAACTCAAGATTGTCTTCAGATTTTTTAGAGTACCATTTACCATTTGCTTTAAATTGTTGACCTTCCAGGTTTTCAATAATCACTGAAATCTGCAAATATTTTGTATCTTGTGTTGACTGCAGCTATATAAATTATTAATTATACTTTTTGAGGATTTGGCCATTAACTTTATTGAAGTTTATACTTTTAGGTCATGATTTGTATGTTCATAGTACTTGTTGTGAGAACATTATACTTTTAATGTATCAGTGTTGAAATTAATATTTCTTCATTTAGTGTGCAGATTATAACTGACTTCAACTTGTTTCAGGAACTTTCATGGTGGAATCTGTAGCATTTCTGGCAGCTCTGCGCTAACTCCTGGTGAAGGCAATCAACAGAGCCTCAGTGAATCAAGCACTGGTTGGTAACTCAGTTCAAATTAATTTTTTTTAATTTCTGTTGTATACAGTGAGATAAAAATTTGTTATTTATCCTGGTAGTTTTTAGTTTTAGTTTAGGTTTGGAATGTTTTTTCCTGCTTCATGCTTTAATTTAGGTATTTAAACTTAGTGTTTAAGTTGAATATTTCTTTACTACCTTGAAATGCAAATAAGTAGTTGGCAAGGCTCATCATTATGATTCTCCCCAAGTATTCCTGAATAAATTTTACTTTCACTTACAATTTCTAACATTTTTTCTGCCCCTATGCTTTTTGTACATGATTAATTCACATTATACATTTTTGATTTTTAAAGAAAGATTTTATACATCAAAGCTGAACTCTAATTTGAAAATTTTAGCTTTTTCTTTCAATTTTCACACACTTTGCCTGATTTTGCTTTAATTTTGCCCTATGATTCTGCCTCTGTGCATGTCTGATATTGCAACTCATGACTCAGGAGTGAGTCGTTGCGGCAGCCCGAGCAGTATTGATGCCTATGAAGCTGGCAGAGCCGAGCTGGTGCGTGTGCCTCATGGGCAGCTGCGCAACATGCTGGACAGACTACTGGAGAAGGACAAAGTCAACCTGGCTGTCCCGCCCTACACAACTTGTGTACGTGCAGGGTCATAAGTCTAACTTCTGATTGTTGCTCTCTCTCTTGCTCATAATCTCATTAGTTATATATTTTCTTTCTACTTATGAGCTTTTGGATCGATGCTTTTGCAAACCAACTAAAATTAATATTTGAAGGTTAGAATGTTGTTCAACTATAAAAATTATAAAGTAAACTATTATTAAACAAAGGTGAAAGTAACAAAAGTTTGTAACTCTTGTGTACATTTTATTCTAAAATATGAAGGAATGTAGAGGTGCTGGATGACAATGGCCTCGGATGCTGGTTCAGAATTTTTTTAGCAGCTAAGATGAACTATATACAAGCGTTGAAATTTTCTGCTTTTCTCATTTATATTAACAAATGAATTCTGTCTCTTTTGCAAAGCTGATTTATTGCTGTGTTGCAGGATGGCAGCAGAGGTGTGCTGGAGGGTCTGGCGTCGCGCTATGCAGACCAGTTCAGCACGCACTACCAGGACGTACTAGACCATCTAGAACAGCTACGCACGAGCGCGGTGGTCTCCACACACCCTGCCCCCGTGGCGGGAGGTGACCCTGGTGACATATTGACACCCATGAACATGGGTGGTCGCGTATCTATGTCATCACCCGGTGCCGTGTCGTGTGACGCGGTAGGCAAGACCTGCAGTGTTACGGGAGGCGTCGTCACGTCGGCATCATCAGGGCAGCTGTCATCACTGAGCTCATCGCCTGAGCACCAGTCCACCTCTCACTATCTTCCCTCGCACTTCTCGTCCACAGACCGCGCCATTTACGTGCCGGGCAAATATAATGTTAGTTGTCTTAGTTTCGATTTTGCACTTTCAAATCTTCTTGGTTTGTCATTCAGTGTAGGTATTTGCAATTATTTTTGGAATATTATGAATCTCAATGCACTGAGCGGCTCTTGGCTAAATTTATCTTAGTGGCTATGAAAATCCTAAAGAATCATAGTTTGCCTTTGGTATGTTTCCTTGCAAGTTTGTATTAAGCATTATTTTTGTACTAATATTAACTCATTTGAATTTATCTAATGAGTTCAGCTTATTTTCCCGGAGGAAAAAGACCTTCAAATCTCCAAGTTTTTTTGCTAGTACTAATGGTCACCGGTCACCAAAATCATTAGATTTGTTTCTTTTTTTGTTGCCAGAAGAGTTGGTCAGTAAAAGGCAACTTCTCATAATAACTTCCAGTTCAATCAGTCGCACTCTTTATAACTTTTACCATATAATTTAATTTAAAAATTGTTTTAATTTTGGCGTGGCCAGCCCTCGAGCTGCCTGTCAAAAAAATTGCACTGAAAACGGATTGGGAAAGCATTTATTTCCTCTGTAATATTTTTTTAACTTTTTCGCCCTAATATGAAATGAACTTCTTTTTGATCTGGGAGAATTTTCAAGTTAAGTAATAAATTACATGCGTATTTATGTTTCACGCCTGAAAAATTTACATATACTACATTTGGAGCTTCAAAATGTCACTAATTAAAACAAAGTTCTCGTTTATTTTTGCAGATATTTGAACCCGCGCTCGCAGTACATCTACGAGCTGCCGCCTGTTGGAGGTAAGATTCCCCACAGCTTTGACAATGAGCTGTGATGGAAAAACTCTGCTTATTAATCTTACTTCTTATTCAATAAAAACACGTTTCAATTAGCTTTTATGCCTCTCATTTTGTTTCTTGTTGAGGACTTGATGCTCATTTATAATATTGTTTAACATACAGTCTAAGAGGAATTATTTAACGAGGCAAGCAAAGTAAGAATGAGGTTATTTAATTGTTTATCCTCACACATTTCAACTGCAGTTCCTTTTTACTTAATTATAGTAGGAGAAACAAATTCTTTTGATGATATCATGCTGCAGTAATGTAGCATTGTTGGTTATAAAACTTAGTTCTTTGTACATACCAAAGAATCATCATTATTTTTAGTGCTACCAACTCTTGGTCCGTGAAAGCAACACTGAATGCGTGTATGATGGTGGCAGAGGCGGGACATATCAGTTCGGTGTATAGCAGGGAGCACTTGGGTGTGAATATGGAAAGGGGAATGGTTTGGTGTGAATGTGATGGGGTGTGAAGAGGTAGCTGTGGAGCGCCTGATGGTGGAATGCGAGGAGATTGAAAGAAGAGATATGATGAGGTGGCTCATAATGAGGTGCGGGCTAAGAGTAATGGCGGGGGACAGGCGAGGAGTGAACTGCAGTGGTTGTGGGTTTGTCAGAGGGAGTAGCTGTGCCTGTGATTTAGAGAGCGAGAGATACCTGGAGGGATGGATTAGGCTGAGCGGAAGAGGAGGGTGGCAAAAATAGAGTCATGATGGTTGCTGAAGTGAAAATAAAAATAAACGATAACCAAAACAAATCTCAATTTTTTAATCTACTATACATGTCCGTCTTTTGAAATTTAATGTATCATGGTCTGTTTGGAGGTTGGGGATAATAATGCTATGCTAGTGATTATAGGAATGTTTTTAATGTATGATCTTGAGTTGCGTAGGTGACCGATGCACCGGTCATCACTTCTTCTATTCCTCATCGTGTATGTATGTGATAATATATTTACATGATAAGGTGGTTTCTTCATGCGGGTGGCATTGCCAGTGTAAATGACAGGTTCTTTCATTGGTCAAATTTCTTCTAAAATTTCATTCATGATGCCCGTATTTACCCGTTTACTTTCAGCATCTGTAGCTACGCTAAAAAATTTTTGATAGCAGCAAAGTTTTCTCTGGTACAGTAATGTATTTATCATTTGCTTAGTTTTGATGTTTTTACATTTGACACATCCATCTATTATCATTTTCAATATCTTTGAACGTTGAACCAAATTCTATTCTGTCAATGAGAGATCCAAGTCAACTTGTATGTTGACTTAATTCAATATTTTTATGAGTTTTTGAGATTAATTGATTGCAGTCACTTCTATTTCTAAATCTCGTGTTGCTGAGCTGCTCCGACCCTAATCTTGTGTTGCTGGGCTGCCCCGACCCTAATCTTGTGTTTCTGTGCTGCCCCGACCCTAATCTCGTGTAGCTCAGCTTCTCCGACCCTAATCTCGTGTTGCTGGGCCTCCCCGACAGGCCGTGTAGGGGGCAAGCGTCGGCTGGGTCTGAGTCGCCTAATCAAGACGCTGCGTCGAGACCTCAAGAAGGCCACCCCGGGGCGCCTCAAGGGCCCCAGCCTCGCGCCTGCGCCCACACTCAGAGTCAGACTTTTGTTTATATTGGAATATTGCGATGAGAATATTTTTCATAGTATGAAGTTGTGTTAATTTGAAATGCAATCATGCTATCGATTTGTGGAGTAACAATAGTGCAATAGAAATTAGAAGGTTATAATGGGCAAATTTTAAAGGTCAAGAAGCTGTCATAGCTTGTAATTCTAAATTTTTGTGTTGATTGTTACTGCGTTACTGTATAAGCCATGGGGCCATGAGGATGGTGTTGTTAATTGCAGACGGAGGCCACACAACCTGCGTTAGGCACCAGCGCCAGCAGCAGCGGCTGTACCTCGAACACCACTCCTGTGACCGTGTTACCAGGCTACTACCATCACCATCACCAGTCTTCCTCATCATCCTCTACCACCACAACAACCACCTTACCACCTCCTCAACACCAGCACCAGTACTCTAACACCACCAACACCACGAGCCTCCCTGCCACCGACAGCACCAGCAGCTCCCCCCGAGGCTCGCAACACTCATCCCGCTCCAGCGGCGCACAGTCGACGGCTGCGCAGGGCAGCGCTGCGGCAGGGCATCCCAGTGGGTGTGTGTGGGTTAGGAGCACAGCGCCGCCTCCCCACACGGCACCCGTCACCCCAGCATCCACGACACCCCGAGACTCGGGGCTGCAGCTTGCCATAGCACGGCACCCGTCACCCCAGCATCCACGACACCCCGAGACTCGGGGCTGCAGCTTGCCATAGAGAAGGTCAGTGGAAAACTATCCCTACAAGAACAATGGGTTTCTGTTAGCTTTCTTAAGAATGTTTCCATGTTTTGTTTTTCATCTCAACGTGTGCAATGGAGGACAATGCTCAGCCAGGAGAACTCTAGAAATTTAAGAGGTCTAACATTTGCTACTGAATCTCTTAAGAGTCCTATATACAGTGGCTGCAAAAAAGTATCAGACACAAAGGGAAAACTTGATTTAATTAAAGCTTATTTAACAAAACATAAACAAACACTATTGTATTGTATTCACATGTGAAATACAAATATCATATCAATACAACAATTATCATCAAATGTTGACTTAATAATTGCAATTTCGTAAAAGTCGAGGTTCAAAAAGTATCCAACACATGGTAAAGAAGAATTTGATTCACCAATAATTTCTCATCCATTATGTTCGGGAGAATATTCTAGAATCAGAAAACGTTTGAATATCCTAGACTGCAAATGAACGTCATAGACATCTTTCTAACTGCAGTCATTCATTACTTAAAATCGTCATTAGAAGGTAGCCTAAATTTTTCTCTTCAACAATGCCTAAAACTGCAGAATTGTCTGAATCAACTAGAAAATCAATTATTCAGGTACACAGAGATGGTTTGGGATACAGAAAATTTTCATCCGTATTAAATATCCCAAATTCGGCAGCTGGTGATACTGTTGGAGGTGGAAATCATTCCATCTTTCTACTAGTCTGCCTCGTTTAGGGCGTCCTACAAAAATTTCTGATCGTACAGCTCGGAGTTAAGTTCAAAAAGTACAGAGTAATCCTCGACTGACTCGCTCTGAACTGCAAAAAGATTTGCAATCAAGTGGAACAAATGTTTGCAAGAATACAATTAGGACAGTTCTTCGAGAGAGAGGATTTCACTCTCGTTCACCAAGAAAAACCTCGCTCTTTCAGTAAATTCACGCGAAAAACCGCCTGAACTTTGCTAAAGAACACGTGAAATAACCTTCAAGTTTTGGGGATAAATATTATGATCAGATGTGACTAAAATTGAGCTGTTTGGTCGGAGCTGTGTCAGTTGTGTTTGGTGACAGAAGAACTCTGCGTTTCACCCGAAGAATACCGTCCCAACATTGAAGTTTGTAGGTGGCAGCATAATGCTTTGGGGTTATTTCTTTTCTTCAGGCCCAGGAGAATCGAAAATCATGGAAGAAAAGGATAAACTCTGAAATGTATCGGGGCATTCATGAGAGATGTCACGTGAAATTAGCCAAAAAATTGAACCTTCCTCGAGGTTAGATATTCCAACAAGACAATGACCCGAGCCCACGGCTGGGGCAACTCTTGCATGATTTCAGGAGGAGGGACATTGAGTAATTGAAATGGCCAAGCCAATCACCTGACCTCAATCCGATTGAAAATGTGGCGGTAATGAAAATTGTGGGTACAGGAGAGAGATCCAAGAAATCTTATCCAATTGAAAGAAATATGCAAGGAAGAGTGGGATAAAATTCCCATTAGCATATGTGTTAATCTTGTAAACAAGTATTCCAATCGGTTAGAAACAGTGTTGGCTGCTAAAGGTCACATGACGAAGTATTGTTTATTATGTGTTGGATACTTTTTGAACCTTAACTTTTACAAAATTGTAATTATCAAGTCAACATTTAATGATAATTGTTGTTATGATATGATATTTGCGTTTCCCATCTAAATTTACGTTAGAATAGGGTTTATTTATGTTATTTTGTTGAATAGGCTTTAATTTTTAAAGTTTTTCCTTTGTGTCGAATACTTTTTTTTTTGCACCCACTGTAAATACGTTCATATCTATATCCACATCTGCTCAGTCGTAAGAGCGTATTAACATAATAGAATGTAGAAGGGCAGATTATGTCAAGTGCTGCCAACATGAACAAGGAAGTTAGAAGTATGAGTGTTGACACCATGTTATTTCATGTCTTCGCATCGGTCATGCGGGGTTAATTGTAACCGAAACTGGACCCTGGAGCTCGCATGCAGCGCCGCTATTGTACGAGCCAACGAAGGGCACTGCTCTCTTGTTTGAGGGAACATTGCTAAGTAATGGCTCTCCTGAGGCCTTTGCTTACGTGTATCCGTGTTGACTTCAAGTAAGTCATAGGTTAATATTTCAAATATCGATATTTGTCTTCAGTTGATAATATTTTGATATTTTTGTTTGCAGTTGAAGGAGCAAGAGGTTCTGAGGCGTCGTCACGACCAGCTCATAGAACAGAAACAGGTGAGTTCTGCGTGTACGCGAACTGGTGAGTGCTGCGTGTACCATAAACAGGTGAGTGATGCGTGTACGCCACGAAGGTAGCTAGTAATAATGTGATTCTGTGTTAGTTAATAGTGAAGATTTTGGCAGCGCCGCCGCTGTGACGTTAATTTTCGAAGAGATCAACCCCTAACCTCTCACAATCTACATATTTAACTAAGTAATTAATTCATGAAAATTGTAAGAATTTGTCGACAATTGTCGTCTTTAAAAACCCATGGTTCGAGAAGTTAGTAGTGCTTAGAAAAACTTACTCGTGATTTAAAAAATGGGATTTTTTGCCAAGAGAGTCACGGCTGTTATCTGAACATTTTTTGCACCCTCAATGTTATGCAATTCAATGCAAGTGCTGACTGATGTCTCAATAATCTCGATTTGCACTCGTTGACTATAATGATCTTCTATCGACTGCAACGTTGAAATAATATGTCGAACTCATTTTATCAGTGCATGGTAGCGCTGCTTGATGCTCGCATGATTGTGTTCGTTTCAAGCAATTGTGTCGTGATGGTTTCACTTTAACGAAATTTCTGTTTCGTATTTGCCCCTAGATATTACGCTGAACAATTTATTGTACAAGTGCAATTTCTAACAATTTTGACAGAATACCAGTTCATTTTGATTTAGGTATTAAATAATTAAATGCTTGCGAGTTAAGATCGAATGAAGTGAACGACTGTAACAATTTACCAAAAATGGTTGGTAATCTTGTGGAGAAGCTTCTGATGCGCGATGAAGCGTTAGTGATGAAGTGAAATCCACTTGCCACAGTCGACGTAACATTGTTGTGTGGCGCCACCACTTGCCACAGTTGACGTAACATTGTTGTGTGGCGCCATCACTTGCCACAGTTGTAACATTGTTGTGTGGCGCCGCCACTTGCCACAGTTGACGTAACATTGTTGTGTGGCACTACCACTTACCACAGTTGCGTGTATTGATAAGCCAAGCGTTCAATTACCCCGGCATCTTCAAATATCACAAGATACCAGGGAAATATTTAGGGTGAATGAAGATCCCCGCCGTCGCATGAGCTCTCGATTGTTTTATAACAATTGCCGCCCTTCAAAATCTATAGGATGCAATACCCACATGAATTGTACTCTTTTGAAGTTATATAATCTCCTTACCGTGTGTTTGATATATAACTATAGTTATTTTACAACTGTTTCTTGCATAACCATCTTAGTGTTATAACCATGTCAGTGTTATAACCATGATGGTGGTGTTATAATCGTTATGGTTATATCCTAATGGTGGTGGTATGACCATGCATGGTGTGTTATAACTTCTGCCAATAAATCATCATGGAGTTCAGCAAGCAGTTCTTTTATTTACAGCGTCAGTGCCGATAGTCGCTTAGGTGCAATTGTACCAGTATGATGAAGTGTTTTGCAGCGATGTTATATCTCGCATACATTTATTGTATTCATCATTTGATAGTTTCGTCGTGGAAGAAAAATAATTTCCAACACTTTCAATGATGCAAGGAAGTAGGGACGTGGCAAAATAATTGTGATTGGCAAATCACAATTGGCAAAAATAATTGTGAGCCAACAAAATACGGCAGATAATTTTTTATATAGTATCACTAGCTAGCTCACGAAAAGGACTTCATGGTGTTACATTCAACCCAATCTAATTAAACTGTCACTTTTCAACAACTTGTTATTGTTACTGAATTGTAACTGATATTGTATGCAGAATAATTGTTGCCAGTTATGCTTATCGTGTTTGAAAATGTACCATCAAGTATGAACTTGATTCGAAATCGACAACGAACGATTTAAACCTCGAGCGCTTGTCATGTGTCTGACACCGTCAAACCAGTTCACTCCAATGGTTTTACGAAAGTATAAAATTTTTCCTCGTGAATCTAAATGAGTATGCAATGCACGATCGTATGTTTTTCATGTATTTTCTAGATTTATTGCAGCGCTAGCAGGATGCGGCTTTACCAGTCTTGTATAAATAAGAGATGTAATGCAGTCGAGTTAAAGCGATTGGGAAAGAAGTCTTTATTGTCCATTGGCTGTATCGCTGGCAACAGCCCCGCGTTGCTTGTCTTTCTTGTGCGTGTTTTACCGCTATCGCTTGAGCTTTTTATGGAAGGGAAGAGGTTTTTGCGTGCCTCCCCTGGTGTAGACGAGGGCTCTGGGCACGTCCCCCCAGTGTGCGGTCACTTGCTGCTCGGTCCCCTCACTTCCTCCGAGGGTACGAGGGCTTCCCCTAGCACGCGTCTTCTGCTCCCCTCTTTCTTTACAACAAACCCCTTGCCTTTTTCTCAGCGTCCCTTCTTGCGAGCGTTATTCTCAATTATCTCTCTATCTAACTCAGTGTATTTCTTGTCCCTAGCCATGCTTTTTGCCGCCATCCCTCCCTTGCTTGCGTGTGCACCTGCACTATTGATAGCGCGCGCACCAGCTGATCTGCTTTGTTCAGCGCCGCGCGCCCCTAAGACCGATGCAGTCCCCTGTAGCTCCGTTGTCGCTACCAGCGCTCATCGACCGCCAGTAAAACATTTCTCCCGTCGTCTTAAATCTTTCCACTTATTTACCCAAAGTTTTTCATTAACCTGTGGGGAATACTTTATTTCTTTATATTTAAAAGTCATACCTTTAAATATGTACTACTCATGAAGGTGCTGAACTATTCTTAATGTTTACATTATTCAGTCGGATCATCTTGTTCTTAGAATTCAAGGATTAAATTAAGCCATACCTGGGGACCAATTTTGATCTACATATTCGTCTGCCGTACATACCCATGAATGCGGTCTCGATACAAATGTTAAAAATATGCCCATCTGCGTTAAAATTCTGCTTGTTCGTCAGCCTTTTCCTCGCATTATGTGATTCTTAATGGAAATTATTGGCAATGATGGTCACAAATTCCTTATCCCGACCTTCACTTTTCACTAAAATGGAATTTGTGTGTCGCTGTGAGAGCGCTAGGTTCAAAGTGTAAGTGTGGCACTCTCTAAGTACCGAAATTTGGTTTTGACATAAATTGTTGTTAAACTGAGTATGGTACTGATTCTTTGATAGATCAAAAACCTTTGGTTGAGCTTCGTTTTAGAATGAAACTCTCACGCGTGGAGGCAAAAAGAAAGATTAACTGAGTTTGAAAGACGCTTTTGCACAGGTTTTGCATTACATGTTAGGTTTATTTCATGAAGCTTATATATCATTTACTGAATGACAGTTATCCTGGAACATGATCTAACTACAGTTTTGATGAGTAAAATCATGAAACTTCTTTTTTGTAACCGCCGTTACTGTAAAGAATTCGCTACTCCAATTTTAACCAGAGTTTCAAATTTATCCTAGATTATAGCCGAGTAAAAGCTTAGTTTCTGATGAGTTGTACAGCATTTTAAATCTTTTCATTGATCTTTCCTTTCTGTGAATCTCAGTTTCTGATGAGTTTTACAGCATTTTAAATCTGTTCATTGATCTTTCCTTTCTGTGAATCTCAGTTTCTGATGAGTTGTACAGCATTTCAATTCTGTTCATTGATCTTTCCTTTCTGTGAATCACTTTTAAAAACCCAGGCCAGATTTTTTGACTGGCCCTTACTTGGCCTACATGCGACGGTGCCGTCACCTTTAATCCTGCGTTCGAAGGCCTTCATTTTTCCCGTCTATACCTGCCGTTGTTTGCATGAGATATCCTGCTTGTAGATGAGTTTTTGAACATTAAATAGAAATTCATTGAAAGACGTGCACCTTTCAAGACTTTCATGATCCATAGTCCCTTTTATGTATGATATTTATTTTCACATTACCAAACCAAACCACCTTAGCCTAACATTACTCGACCTGCACAAATAAAGCCAACACGATCTAGATTTAACAGACGATTACAACGCACTAAAGCATTAGTGTTTGTTTGCGTCACTCGAACGGTGAGCTTGAAATAGTCTGATCAATTCATAAGATAAGAGCTGCTTGATGACGCGTGCGCTGCGTGAACAGGTGACAACAGCCTTTTCCTGTCCCTCTTGTTGCTCTTTAGTGAGCCTCGAGTCCCTTTGTGTTCGTAAAATTTGGTATGAGATCAGCGAATATGTGTGCAAGCTTCGTAATTCATGTTGTATGTTATTTTGTAACATGTACCGAATTCATTACTGACAGGATTGTGTGATTGTCTTCTTGCTCATCATTGAAGCTTATGCTCTAATGAATGCTTTCAAAATTTGAGAGATTCCAAAATAAACATTGACTTTTAGCTAATGCTAGGAAATAAATAATTAAAAAAATTTACTTTTCTGCTTGATTTAAAAAAAATGTGCCAGTGTGACAACTTGGAAGGTTTATTATCCATATTGTTGCAAGAAGGCAAATTACTGCACGAGAAACCGAAGTCGTTGCTTGCATGGCTGCGTGGAACGAAATGATAGCACGAAGGTCATGGTGCTGGGATAATCGATTTTAGTTTCAGTCCTGAAGGTCATTAACCTTCTCATAAAATCAATCGGCATTGCTCTTGAGCTTACTTGTGTGATCAAGGTCAATAACCTTGATGCAAGGTCGTCGTCCTTGGTACGAGGTCGTCGGTTGCAGCGCAAGGTCGTTGTATGTTGAACGGAAAAGCCAAGGCCGTGGCAGCCGCACTGTGATCGACCTCGGCAGGCGAGCGACCTTCGGATGTGCAGGGCGGCCGGCGCTTCTCTGTGGAGGGGTGAGTGACCTTGTACGAGCGTTGTGGGGTAAACGACCTCGAATATGGTGCTGGTTGTGGGAGAGCAAGAGAGACGGATGACCTCGCTGCGCTGGCCTACCCAAGCTTGCGCGCAGTCGTCCTCTTCTGGCCAGCCTCAGCCTCCGAAGCGCCAAATGTGCGACCTTCGAGACCGGCGTTGAAGCAGCGCTATGCATGTGCCACCCTTGAGATACCTCGGCTGCTGCAGCCTCCGTTGCTCTTGCATGCCGCACAGCTGTGCTGCAGCCCACGTTTCTG